TTTTTTTTTTAGAGACGGAGTCTCTTGCTCAGGCTGCTCTCCAACTCCTGAGCTCAGGCAGTCCACCCGCCTTGGCCTCCCAGAGTCTGAGGGTTACAGGCGTGAGCCACGCACGCACGGGGCCTGATGAGGGATTCTTAAAGAGAGCTTTGGGATGGGCTTTTTCACATTTCTACATTTTGAACCAGGTTTTGCTTGGCTTAATGAAAATCTGGACTGCACTTTTAAAAAGTGGGTAATTTCATCTCAGGTTTGAAATGAATGTGTGTCTGGGTGAAGTAGGTAATTTAAGTCCTGTTAAAATTTGTTTGTACCACAGTAGCGGGTGAGTGCTTATGCTCAGGGATTTCCCAGTTCACAGATTATTGTATCATTTTGGAAACAATTCTAAATAAATATATAATTTCAATTTTTCTCTTATTCACATAACCTTAAATTTATTTCCTTAGGTAGCTTAAATATATTTTAGAAGACTCACTTTGAAATTTCAAGTATAAATTCCAAAAAGCCTGTTTACATTCATCATTTTATTAGAGGAAATTTTTTTATGCTGATGGTTACATCTGTCATTTTATTCTAATTTATGTGATTGTTCTATAGAGAATAGAGTTGAGGGCATAGATGTTGTTTGAAAGTTAAAACTGCAGAAGTCATCCTTAAAGGTTTGTGTCCAATTTGAAGATATCCTCAATTGTGTACGTTGGCATCTTTTGGAATTTATCTGTTGTGACACGTCTATGGAAAGTTTTGTGAACTTCTTTATTCAGCCACACAACTGCCAAAGGTTTGAAAACCATTAGTTCAGAATCTCAGGAGAGTCTTGAGAACTCTAGCATATAGCACTCAGACAGAAACCATTCAGCAGAATCACCCAAAAGATTCCTTGAAGTCACCTGAGGAAAATGTCCAGTTAAAAGTTATTTTAGGCTTGGCGCCTGTGGCTCCAGCGGCTAAGGCGCCAGCCACATACACCTAAGGTGGAGGGTTTGAATCCAGCCTGGGCCCGCCAAACAACAATGATGGCTGCAACTAAAAAATAGCCGGGCGTTGTGGTGTGGCAGGCGCCTGTGGTCCCAGCTACTTGGGAGGCTGAGGCAGGAGACTTGCTTGAGCCCAGGAGTTGGAGGTTGCTGTGAGCTGTGATGCCACAGCACTCTACCCAGGGGAATAGCTTGAGGCTCTGTCTCAAAAAAAAAAAAAAGTTATTTTAAAGATATGTTTTATACTTGGTTATTAAAAAAGTTCTTCTTGGAGACAAGTAATTGATGTGTGGTTATGGTCCTTGTCTTGAGCTTTGGTACTGAAGTGCATTGTGAAGTGAGACGTGGCAGCTAGTTCAGGCCCCTGGCTAGGATGTCTGTTAGTAATCAGAAGTCAGTTTCTTCCAGTGCACATTTATATTTTGAACATTTACATGTATTAGGATCATTAGTGAAGGAAAATCCCTTTTTTTAATCCCCAGTGTTATTTTTTTCACTTTTTCTTTTTCTTACGTTCAGTATTTATTAAACACTTTAGCATGCACCAGGCACTGCTTTATATTTTAGGCCCTGGAATGTAGCCCTTTTGGAGATTGTGTTTTAATGTTTAATTGTTTTCCTTTTATTCCTCTTTGGTTAGAGTTTTTTTATTAGGGCAGGTTGGTGAATTTTATGAAATTGTGTAAGTTAAAATTTTATAAAATTAAGAACTTTAAGAGGGAAATAAAAGGCCTATGAAGAGCTAAGAACCTCAGTGCTGATCACTGGTAGGGTCAAGCAGACTGTCTCGCATAGGAAGATAGTTTTGTAATCCAGCAGGGGAAGGATGTGTGTCCCCTGGGTGACCAGTGGCAAGAACTAAAATGGGCCCCCCATAAACTTGTTGTCTTTGGCGTCTTTCTTTGACACCTAAGCTAATGCCACAAAGTGGTGCACAGTCCCTATTTTGACTCTTAGTACATTTTGGTTTTTAAGTTATGTGTTTTACCGATCTTGAGGTTAAAGCCACATTCCTCCAGAGCGTAGACAAAAGCATCCTTAGAAATGGATGTGTTAGTACATGAATGAGGACACAGTGAATGGAGACTTGAAGTTCACCGCTAATGCCCCCCTGAGCGCTGTGCCAAGGGAGGGACTTGCACAGATAAATAAAAATGCTCCTTCTTGGCTCAGTGCCTATGGCTCAAGCGGCTAAGGTGCCAGCCACATACACCAGGGCTGGCCGGTTCAAATCTAGCCCAGGCCTGCCAAACAACAATGACAACTGCAACCACAGAATGGCCAGGTGTTGTGGCAGGCACCTGAAGTCCCAGCTACTTGGGAGGCTGAGGCGAGAGAATTGCTTAAGCAATTGGAGTTGGAGGTTGCTGTGAGCTGTGATGCCACAGCACTCTACCGAGGGCAATAAAGCGAAACTCTGTCTCTTAAAAAAATAAAAAGCTCCTTCTCCCCACATGTGTGCTGAGAAATGCCAAAATTGGGGGCATCATACAGCCTGGTGCTGTGTATGGATGCAGATAGACAAGGATATAGTTATTTCTGCCTGAAGGGTTCAGAAAAACCTCCAGGAAGGAGTTAACATAGGAAGAAGGCTTTTTTAGGACAAAGAGGGGTCTGGATAAATCGTTGTGTAGGTGGGGAAAGATCGTTTCCAGTAGAGAAAAGAACTTTTGAGGAAGTTGAAAATTGAAGGTGCTTTTATCACAGTGTTACCAGATCATTTCAGTGATAATGACAAACGTATTTTCAGTTCTTTAAATCTGATTCTGTCTCTTGTTTTTAGCATATGTGAAATTTATTGTAAATTGGTACCTGTGATGTTGGTACACTTTTTGCTTTTGTTTTATTAACTCTATTAAGTGATTATTTGATAGGCCAGTTTTATTGCTACTTTTTAATTAGAGTGGTTCTAACTGTTTTAATTTTGTTTTAGATTATAGCATTTGATGAGCTGAAGACTGATTACAAGAATCCCATAGACCAGTGTAATACCCTGAATCCCGTAAGTTGTAATATGGAGTTTATCTTTAGATTTTAGAAAATGTATTTGTTTTTAACTTAATGTAATTTGAAAGTGGCCCCCACTCTCAGTAGCATGATATATCTTTACTTTGTGAAGTAGGCAGAATTAAAAAAAAAAATTCTTTTTCTTGTCATGCTTGACTGTTGTGACTATTATTAATCTGCTGGTGATCTTGTCAGCTGTCATACTAACATTCTTCCAATCTGCTTTTTACATTGTCGGCCAAAGACAGTTGAAAAGGTCAAAAAGATTAAAAGAGTCAAAATTGCATTGAAGGTGTGTACTGCTTTTCAGTTTCACGTTTTACGCTGTGTCCATCTCACGGGGAGGGTCAGGACATTTGCTATTTGTGATGTTTTGTTCACTGTGCTCGTTCACATGCCTGTTGAGGTTTATGATTTCATGAAATTTCACATTTTATGCAAATGTTTGCTTGCTGGCCCAGTCAAGTAGGGAAAGCTGTTAAATGCTTATGCGTATTTTCTCATTGTTATAGCCATAGGCACATATTAAATTATTTGGTGCCATGTTTGAAAATTGGTTAACGTGAAATGAGTTTACTACGTGGTGAGGTTCTTCTCTGGTTGTGGCTCACTGTCAGGTCGGATGCTAGTGAACTCTGAACTCTGGCTTATCTTCCAGGCCGAGTTTTATCTGTGGTTATGTGTATTCTGGAACATATTCATTCTTTCAGCTGGTGTTTATTCGGCCTTGGGTTCTGTTCTCGGGGTCTGGGATCTTGCCTCAGTGCTGTCCTTTGGTTTGTGGAGTCAGAATTTTGTGGACACCAATCCATTGACAGGGATGTCTGCAGTTTTTCTGGTGTGTGTCCACTTTCAGTTCCTGAAGTGGGCCAGTCGCACACCTAAGTTCTCAGCTGTTCTGGCTTTGAGGATACTGTGGCCTGCTGGTCCTCAGGGGGTTTACTTCTATTTGTGACTCATTGAGGAAGATTTTCCTTTTGCCTGATTGTGCAGAAACTAACAGATTGTTAGAAAGCAGTGAGTGTGTCTTCAAGAAATAAAACAAATCACTTCATGTGAAGGCGAGGATTTGTGTAGATTTTAGTTGTCTGAAACTCTGTGCACGAGTATGCCTGAATATTCATTTGGAAAAGCATCTATAAGGTCAGTGTGCTGCTTGGCCACTTTCTCAGGTGAATGTGAGTGACAGGACAGATTGTTGGGTGGTCTTAGAGAACCGTCGTAGTCAGACTTGATGCAGGCTCAGTCAGAAGCATCGACTTACTGGCTGTTGCTCTGCTTTTTCGGAATAAGATGTGAAAAGATGATTTGCCTTCTTGTTGGAGCTTAATGTAATAAGAGTGCATTGTGAAACATCTTAACCTAAGTAGTGGAAATTGTTACCAAGAAAAGAAGAAACTGAGATTTTCACTTTGACAGCTGCTTATCAATAGTATTCTCTGCTCTGTGACTTTCCCTACTTTAAATAACCAAGTAACCAAGCCAGGCAAGGCTGAGGACTTACTTGCCTGGGGCTGGCTCTGTGCTAAGTGCTTCCCCTGGTTTTTTCATCCACTTCTCTAGACAGTCTAATTCATTTGTTGTTATTCTCATGAATGGGGGAGTAAACTGGCACTTTGCCCAGGATTGTGTAGGTGAGGGAGAGCCAGAATTTGGACTCAGCCTGATTTTTGAAACTCAAAGTCTTTTATTTTCCTGATTTACCATAAGTTTAAGAAGGATTAATTTCATTTTAACATACTGTGTGATTCCTGGCTTTTCCTGATGGAAAGAAATTCTCACTGAGGAAAGATGTGCCTGGGATGTCGTGATGCTGTGATGGGCCGGTAGCAGAGGCAGGGTGCCGATCATGGCTGAGCAGCAGTGCATCTGACAGTTTTCCCTATTTAAATTTGTTTCGACAGTTCTGCCAAAGTATGGGGGAGGACAGATATTATTTTTTAAATTGTGAGCTTTTAACAACAGAATATTACATTTTGCATGTTTAAGTACTATCATTTCAGCCACATTTGCATGAGGTATTCTTTCTGGATACTAGTTTTTGTGTGAACCTTGGTTCCTAAATGGAATAATTTTTGTCACTTAATGGGAAATTTCATCAAAAAGAATGATTGGAGAAGACTGGTTTTTATCAGAGAGATGTAGTAAATGCTCTGGACTTCTTTGGGGAGATGGGAGAGAGGGTCACACTTGTTTCCTAGGAGATCCTGGTGGAGTTGCAGGGGGTCATCTTTAATTAACACTTTTATTACAGTGTGTTATTTCAGAGCAGAGGGGATCGTGCTTTCAAAATCATTCTCCTTAGACCTCTGTCAGTGTAGGAAGAAACTTGGCATGAGGATTTGTTAGCTATGAGTTGGCTTTAGGTACCTAAAGGCAGCTTATTACATTTTAAAGAAAAACCCTGTAATTTAAACTAGTATTATGAAAGCAACTCTATGGGAACTCCTGATGAAAGGTACATTTTTCTTGGTTTGTTCTGGTTATACATGTAGTTGTTAAGTTCCAGAGATGTCCTGTGGCCCTTTTCTGTTTTAGGGAACTTTAATCCTAAATAGATGTTGGCTTAAAGGTTTATGTTACTTACAAGTTTATATACATGTGCAGGATTGATCTTTAGTTATTATTATTTAAATTTGTAGGAGATACCTGGTTAGTGGTGTAGACTAATTGGCTTTAGCAGGTCTCATTTACAGAGCTGTTCATTGGCTGAGTGTGGTGGCTCACACCTGGAATCCCAGCTCTTGGGGAGGAGAGGGGAGGCCAAGGAAGCACTCAGCTTCATCACTTGAGCTCGGAAGTTTCAGACCAGCCTGAACAGGAGCAAGACGCCATCTAGGGCTTTGTGGAGGGCGTCATCTAATCTCACCAATTGGGAGGGTGAAGCTAGAGGATTGCCTGAACCTAGGAGTTTGAGAGTGCTGTGAGCTATGACACTTTGGTACTCTGCCCAGGTGAGAGAGTGAGACTCTGTCTCAAAAAAAAAAAAAAATAGTATTCATTACAAAGTTGCCTCTACAGCTTTAAATTGGAAAGTGTAATTTGGGAGTATAATTATATTATTTCTACAGCCATGGTTCCTCTCAGGAATGATGTAATGATGTGGAGTATTCATAGGATTTTAATTTGGTGTGAAGTAAACAGTAAGGAAACTGGCTTCTGGCTGTGACTTAAAGGAGAGTCTGGTTGAAACTTGCAGTGAAAGTTTTGATATTCTTATTTAAAAAAACATCAGGCTGAAATCTTTAGGATAAGAAAGATAATTTGAAATCTAAGATTAACTCCCAGTCATTTTATAAAAGCATTGTGCTTGAATTACTTTTTCTTCAGGTAATACTACTGACACCTGTTGCCATAAGGTTTGTTTTTGGTCTGCTGTGTCTGTAGTGTTTGTTGGCAAGCAGGGGTAAAGAAGCAGAAGGCCCCATTGGAGAACGAGAAGGCAGGAACCCGAAAATTCTGATTCTCACCCCTCCTACGTTGCAGAAAGCAAATCTTCTGCGTTTGTACATTAGCCTTCTTCCTCCTTGACTGTGCTGAGATTACTGGCTGATTGGCTTTGTCCATTGAAACTGACTTCTGTGGTGATGTGGTGTGATTGGCTGCCTGTCGTGTATGTAGCATTCCTAGTTTTCTGTTAAAGGCTTAAAACACTAATGTGTCAACTCTAAAGGGGAGTTTTTGTTTTTGTGGGGTTTTTACATATGTTGCATGTGATCAGATACCTTATTTTTGTATTTTTATCATTGTTTAGTGGTGGAAACAGTTGACTAGCAAATAACTGAACAATCTGGGTGGTAACTTTGTATAATTTAATTTCTTGCTCTAAGAATTTGAATTTTAAATTTTAAGTCATTTATTTTACTACTTTAGGGTAAGCTGTATGTTTTGGTCAATATGCTTGTAATCCTGCTTTTAGTAAAAATTTAAATATGGCAATAAAATCAGTCATGTCTTTCATTTCTGATTCTAAGAAAACAGTGATATTTTATTATGGAAGCTTGGTTGCCCCCTGCTTTCTGGTTAGCTGCTGCCTTGATGCCAAGGCGCCTGCTGATGGCCCGTGTCTCCTTGCAGCTGGTCCTCCCAGAGTACCTCATCCACGCCTTCTTCTGTGTCATGTTCCTCTGTGCGGCAGAGTGGCTCACACTGGGTCTCAATATGCCCCTCCTGGCATATCACATTTGGAGGTAACATTTAGATATACTTTTAATCTTTTTCCTAATTAAATTTTAATTACACTGAGGTCAATAGGATTATTTTATGTGTATATGCTAGTCATCTAAATGAAAACTGAAAATTAGTTGGGATTTAAAGATCAAGTAGATGATCAAAAACCTGTTTAATACCTTATTACTTTTTAAAGGAATTTTTAAAAAAAATGAGGTATAACTTACCTACAGTAATGTGGCTCAGTGAATTTTTATGTGTGTATACCCCTGTGAAACCACTGCCCAGATGCAGATACACAGCGGCCCCGCTCTCCAGAAGGCTCCCCCGGGTCCCGTCCTAGTCAGCTGCACCTCCTGGGGCCCTAACCGCTGTCAGCGCAGGTTACTTATTCCTGTGTCGGAGCCTCCTGTAACTCAGAGTGTACAGTGTGTGTAAGACTCCATTCTCTGTGTTGACTTTACCTAAGTTTGGTTATGTATAAAAGATAATCATATTCTGTAACTTCTTTTGTTGTAAATGGATGTCAAATCTTATTGCTTTCAATGCTAGGAAATGTGTACTGAAGAAGTATTGAGTAAAGTGGTATCACGTCTGAAAAGGATTCTGGATGACTCAGGAGAAGTGTAGTTAGTGATGGGCTGCGGGAGCGAGGGTAGAGCAGGTGGGGTGGACGAGCGCATCCGGAACACGCAGGCCAAACATTCCTGCGTCCTCTGTAAGTTTAACATTATTTCAGGATAAAAGCGCGAAAACCCTTAAAAAAAATTTTTTTTTTTACAGTTCTGCCTGTTTTTCTTGGATTTCTGAAAATTCAGAGACCAAAATAACTTTGTTTAGCTGCCCTTTTTGTACTGTCCTGCTCATTAGGGATCCGGTTTTAAATTTAAGATGATGAAATGAAAGAATTCTACCTAGAAGTAAATGTATACTTCCCTACATGGATCACCTCTCGTTGTAACAGATATTTGAGGAAAAACTCCTCTTCCGTGTCCTGAAGTTTTTCTGCCCTTTCCCAGCAGCTGACAGACTGTGTCTTGTTGCAGGTATATGAGTAGACCAGTGATGAGCGGCCCAGGGCTCTATGACCCCACCACCATCATGAATGCGGACATTCTAGCATATTGTCAGAAAGAAGGATGGTGCAAACTAGCTTTTTATCTTCTAGCATTTTTTTACTACCTATACGGGTAAGTTAAAAAATTAACTGAAAATATGATTTGAGTTTCTTGCCTTAGAAGTTTGCAGGCATTATGGATTATAACAGAATGAAGAACAGCTCATTGCCCTCAGGTGACGACAGCTGTAGTGGCAGAGGACACATGTTCGTGTGACACACGGTGCGTGTCAAGGCAGCACCCTGCAGTCACGCAGAGTCTGGGCAGGGGAGCTGCTTCCTCAGTTTTCAGAGACATCTGGTCAGTAAAGGATGGAGGTTACTGTGCACAGAAAAGTGGCAGCATTGAGAGGATAGGTTTGTGTGAGTTTATAAAGCCTCTGCTTGTCTCCAGTGACTTTCCGGAGATAGTGTTTAATTTTTTCCTTGTCATACACCATGTGCTTTGCCTGTTATTTTCTGGTTTGCTTGATCTGAATGGGGTGAATGCAAGAAACGGTTCTACCTTATGGGGTGGGGGCAGTTACCGACTGATTTTTATTTTATACTATGATGGATTCATTATTATTTCTTTTGGTCGGGGTTTCTCAACGCTGAGGCTGTTGGCAGTTCTGGCCTGGATGGTCCCTTTTTGTGGGAGGCTGTCCTATGCATTGTAGGCTGTTGAGCAGTGTTATCCCTGGCCTTTAGCCATGAGATGCCAGCAGCACCTCCTTCCTGTGTCCTGACAGCCAAAAATGTTTCCAGAGGTTGCCAGATGCTCCTGTGGGGCGTAGCTGCCCTGCTGAGAGCCGCCGCCCAGGTACTGCAGGTGCCATAGACAGCTGCACACGCAGGCCCCCAAAGACCACTGTCAGGTGTGGGATTATGGCTTTTCTTTAAGCTGCATAAATGTTCTTTTCTCATCTGTTTCTCATAGTCAGCTAGAGAGGGCTTTCCACCTGATTTTCTTTTTTTACAGTTTTTGGCTGGGGCTGGGTTTGAATCCCCGCCACCTTTGGCATGAGGGGCCAGTGCCCTACTCCTTTGAGCCACAGGTGCTGCCCCCCCCCCTTTTTTTGAGGCAGTGTCACTTTGTCGCTCTTGGTAGACTGCCGTGGTGTCACAGCTCACAACAACCTTAGACTCTTGGGCTCCAGTGATTCTCTTGTCTCAGCCTCCCAAGTAGCTGAGACTACTATAGGTGCCCGCTACAATGCCTGGCTGTTTTTAGAGACGAGGTCTCCCTGGGGGCTCAGGCAATCCACCCGCCTCAGCCTCCCAGAGTGCTTAGATTACAGGCATGTTCCACTGTGCCCAGCCTCCATCTGATTTCCAAAAATAGAAAAATAATAGCTGTATAAGATGATTTTTTTTGACTGTCCCCCTGGGTAGAGTGTTGTGGCATCACAGCTCACAGCAACCTCAAACTCCTGGGCTCAAACGATCTTTCTTTCTCAGCTTCCCAAATAGCAGGGACTATGGGCGCCCACCAATGTCCAGCTATTTTTTTTTTTCCAGCTTTTAAAAAAAATTTTCCTATTTATAGTAGAGTCAGGTCTCGCTCTTGCCTAGGCTGGTGGCAAACTCCTGAACTCAAGTGATCCTTCTGCCTCAGCCTCCCAGAGTGCTAGGATTATAGGCCAGAGCCGTCACGCCAGGCCTAACGTGAACTTGTTGAAATAATTAAGTAACATTCTCTCTCCTGTTTGTCACTTGAAAACTTCTTCCATTGTAGGAAAGTGTCAGACTGAGATTTAGGCAGGCCCCCTCCGGTTCTGCCGCTGTTCCTGGCGGTGCGTGCCCCTCAGTGAGTCTGCACCTGTTTCTCACAGGCGAAACTGGGGGAGCAGTCTGAAGAGTGTACTTCTGTGTGCCATGTCCGTGGCCTATTGATTTTCATTTTTTTAAAGTTTTTTATAACGAATGTCTGGACTAGTGCTGGCATATAGCAGCACATAAGACATTTGTTGAAAGAAAGAAATGAAATGAATGAGTAAATGATAAAGTTGGAGAAGTGCATTGTGGGAAATTGAGGGCATAGGACACTCGCTGTATTGTAAATTGTCAGGTGTGCCCGACGCTTTGAGCCACGTCCCTCTGCTATAACGCTGTGGTAGAATGGCCCATGGCAGTTCTTAGGCCTGATTCAGATGGTTATTGCCTTTTATTTTGCTGGACTGTCCCCTTTCCTTTTTAAACCCTGCTGTTACTGCTTAGAGCCTTTCTCTAATGGGAAACATCCTCAGTTGATCAGTCCCTTCTATCAAATGGGAGTAAGTACAGCACTTGCCTTCTAGGACGGCTTGAGGATGAGGTGAGGAGATGTATGTGAGAGTCCTCACGGGACTTGGCGTCAAGCGAGCCCTCTGGAGACCTTCACTCCTGTTACAGACATGGCTCTAGGGAAGGGCCCGCTGTGGATTGCTCTCTCAGCTCCATCCTCCATTAAGCTTTCAGCTGTGCTGTTCCACTTGCTAAAAGTGGAAAGGAAATAGGGGACATCTACAGCACATGCACCCAGCCAAGTCCTGTGTTAGGCAAAGGTCTATAAATGCAAACTAAAGTCATTATGAACGTGTCAGTATTTTCTGTGATACAAGTTTTGCTCTATAAAGCAGACTTAACTTTTCTGCATTCTTGGGTTAGCTTTTATAATTAGGAATGTCTGAATTAACAGTTTTTTTCTTTTTTCAGCATGATCTATGTTTTGGTGAGCTCTTAGAACAACACACGGAAGAATCGGTCCAGTTAAGTGCATGCAAAAAGCCACCAGATGAAGGGTTCTATCCAGCAAGATCCTGTTTCTAAGAGTAGCCTATGGAATCTGATCAGTTACTTTAAAAAAATGACTCCTTATTTTTTAAATGTTTCCACATTTTTTGCTTGTGGAAAGACTGTTTTCATATGTTATACTCGGATAAAGAATTTAAGTGGAATTACGTATAAATTAATATAAAGTGATTACCTCCGGTATTGGCAGGTTTAAACTTGCACTCCTTAAGGAACAGCCCCAACCCTCTGGATGACTGCATTGATCACTGACTGTCCTGGTCCATTGGAAGCTCTGGTTCATAGGAACTTGCAGGGCTCATTTTGGTTTTACTGAAACACATCTAGTTATAAATCAGCTGTATGTATCAGGTGCTACGATGAGCTGGACTATGTATCTGAGGCGGGAAACATCACGGGTTTCCCGAGCTATCATGGAGATGATCATGTATGGGCACATGTACAAGAATAAGAGTGGGATTTTTTTCCCTTTGACTTGAATATTATCCCTGTATATTGCATGAATGAGAGATTTCCTGTATTTCCACCAGAGTAACAAATATACTTGCTTTAATTCTTAAGCATAAATGAACATGGTATAAAAATATGCTGAATTACTTGTGAAGAATACATTTAAAGCTATTTTGAATGTGTTTTTATTTGTAAGACATTGCTTATTAAGAACTTTGTTATTATGCTTACTGTTCTAATCTGGTGGTAAAGGTATTCTTAAGAATTTGCAAGTACTTTAGATTTTAAAAACAGAGAGAAAATTGTATAACCATCCCGCTGTTCCTTTAGTGCAATACAATAAAACTCTGAAATTAAGATTTACTTTCAGTCCATTGTTTTAAAGATTACAAGTAGCTATTTCTTAAAGTAAGAATAAAGACACAATAAAGACATATTAATTGTCATTTTTTAAAAAAGTATTAAGTTGTGGTTTTTCTTAAAAATGCCATGCCTGAATCTAAAGAGGAATATGTTTAAATGGCCGTGTACATTACCCTCTGTTGTCATTTGACAAGATTTATAAACACTGATGGCACAGCGCCATCATTTATCTTCCCTGTTTGAAAAAAAAATTGTGGCACTTAAACTTTTATTTTTCAAATAGCAATTTTAAGGTAAAACGGCTTGTAAATTTTTCTGAGTTTTCACTGCTTGCGAGGCAGGTAAATTATGGCTTACCTGTTTTTGTAAGCATTTGTGTGCTTTATTTGGGATGAGGAAGTGAGGGCAGTTGAAAATAATTTAAGTGGTCAGAAGTTGCTTGAACAAGCATCAAAGAAAGAAAATCAATATATAAAATTTCACATAATCATCAAGGGAGTTTGTGGATGTGTTTGTGGATGTCTTAAGCTAAGAACTTCTTGAATTAGATGCTGTTTTGTTCTTTGCTAGTGAAAAAGTGCTTTATCCCAGTGCTTCCCTGCCCTTGGCAGAGAGAGGGGCTCCCGCTGTGTCGGTGCTGGGTAACAGGGTGGGTGTGTTGGAGATGTTGGAGCAGGAAGATGTTGGAGCAGGAGAGTGACAGAGTCAGGCGGTTTCACAACCAGGAAGCTTCACACACCTGTGCTGTGCATCTAGGGTGCACTTGGCGGCAGGGGAGGTTCTGGCTGTGAGCGCCAGCACTCGGGTCCTAGTCTGCCTGACTGTCAGTGCCCACTCACTGTCTCTCTTGGTCGTAGTACTTCTGATCATGAGGCAACTGGCCGGGTTTACAGTCCACATTGGTGTCCTGGCCTGTCACTTTAATATTCCTCTCAAAAGTGTCTGGATAAATCCTTGCTCATAGCAAACATTAATTTCCTTTGTAAGTTTTAACAAATATCCTTCTAATAATCTCCGGAATATTCTCCAGGGTTAATGTAAAGTGTACTGGTTGGCATTTGCGGAAGCCACTTTTTTGTTTCCAAAATTAGATATATGGTCCTCAGCTGATCGCTCAGAGATGCTTGCCAGTGAGGTTCCCCTCTCCGGCAGGTGGTCGGGTCAGAAGGGCGAGTGCCTAGTTGCTCTCGTGGTGTCTTCCCATACTTATTATCTGTGTTTCGTGAAATTAAATCACATGGCAAGAGAAAGCAGAAACAAAATCCTCGCATTTCACAGTGTTGCACTTGCTATTTTCCTTGCTTTGAATTTAGTTCTCATGTAAATCTGCTTGGCGCAGCCCCCCCCCCCACAGCGTCTCCTGCTGCTTGTGGGTTCAGCGGAGGCCTGTTCAGCCATGGCACATGACCCCTGTGTGTAGTGCCCCTGCCGGGTGGGGCCAGCTGTTTATTCAGGTAGTCTTTGTTCCAGTTGCTTTTGATACATCCATTTATCTCTACAGCTCTCAGAAACCATTGTACCCAGTTGGGCCTGTATGATCACATCTAGTGTAGCACTGTGGCTGTGACTATACCAAGAACTCGGTTGCTGTGGATGCTGCCGCATCTCCTGAATTGAAAATCTTTTAAATAAAGCCTGGGTAGCAGTTATTCTTACTCTTATTATGGCAATATTCCTGTTTCCTACTAAAGAGGTATAGGAGTAGAAAATATTTGAGGAGCCACAGATCTTAATGTTATTCATGATGTTTGATGGTTTTCACGATGCTTAACTGGTATTCCCTACTTCCTATTCCAGGGTAGAGGAGAGTTTGGCCCCAGACTATATTCAAACTGCTAATTTGTTTAAAGTTTGAATTTTTTTTCCCATGGGAAAGTGCTAGGAAATAACCAGACAAGCCCACTTTGGGGTGTAGGTTTGAAGATGTTCGTCAGTTTTGAAGTCTTAGCAATAATACTACAAGCTGTCAGACCTACTAGTCAAGTTCAAATACCCAGATACTGCCTTTCACATGGCAGCAGAGTATGGGTCAGGGTATAGCCTGTGTCTCTCTTAAAGCCTGTTCAGTGCTCTGGGTTTGAGGACTCATGCTGAGGGCTCTCAGCTTGGCTCTGCTCCCTAAATACCATACTTTGAAGATATGTCTTATTTTTGCATAGAAGAGAAATGGAGCTGTATATGCTTGGAAACTGGCAAAATGTTTTCCTTTGTATGATGCCTCTCCTTCCCTCCAGTTACATGTCTGGAATGTCATTGCCATGGTGCAAATGACGACTTGGGTGGCACTTGTACAGGGTGGGTTTTCACTTCAGGTGTGGCTGTTCACGTCAACGTGATGCATCAAGCCTGTTCAAACAGGGATCTGTATTAAGAAGCAAATACCTGGTTTATTCATTTACATAATTTAACATCCACAAATGTGTACCTCTCAGTAATCAGTTTCACAGTATAATTGCAAATCAAATCTTGATGGCAAAGTATTCTTTTGAGACAGAGCCTCAAGCTGTCCCCCTGGGTAGAATGCCATGGCATCACAGCTCACAGCAACCTCCAACTCCTGGGCTCAAGCGAGTCTCCTGCCTCCGCCTCCCAAGTAGCTGGGACCACAGGCGCCCGCCACAACACCCGACTATTTTTTGGTTGCAGCCGTCGTTGTTGTTTTGGTGGGCCTGGGCTGGATTCGAACCCGCCACCTTACGTGTATGTGGCTGGCGCCTTAGCCACTTGAGCCACAGGCGCCGAGCCGGCAAAAACACTCCTTTGAATAAAAAAAAAAATACATCTTGCCTGCATTTTTCATAAAAGTACTTATATTCATGCCTTTTGCAAACTATCATGTTAGTCTTAGATAATAAGTTTAATAAGCTCTTTGGCTGAAATCAGTCATAGGTCTGCAGTCAGATCAGCTGCTAATGGTACAGTTTAGCAGACAGCTCTGAGAGCCCTCCAGAGTGACGGGGAGAGCAAGTGTGGTTCTATCAGTTTCACTGTCTGACATTCAGAGTGACAGCTGACTCTCTGGGATAAGTAACTGCCGCTCATCCTGCTGCTGCTGGGAAACGGTACTAACCACTCGGTGACTGATCTGTGAGGGTGGGACGAAGGTTCTGTCCCACGTCACTTCTCATTGCACCTTGTGGAGGTGGACTGAATGAAGGTCATGACACGCAGAGGAAATGCACTGCGTGTGATTTAACTGTAGTGCTTTCTCTGAATGTTTTCATTTCTTGGGTTGCCATGTTCATGTACTCTGGAGAAGAAAAATTTCTTAGTGAGGACTAGGCAGAACCTAAAACTAAGACAAAATGTACTTAAATGTCTGTGCTCCTGGCTTATGAAAGTCTAGGACGTCAACCCCAATGGTGCTGTAACACTGAAGCAAATGCCTTTAGGTAGCCCTGCCTTTTTTGAGCTTATTTTGGTTTTGTATATTTAATAAAGACTGTAACACATGCTTCCTTGTGTAGTTTATGGGTCATGGTTGAGTCTGTGTGTCAGTTTCAAATGCCCTAACTCTGGTTTGTCTCTGTGCGAGCCCCGTTCCCCCCCCCCCGCCCTGTTTTTGAGGGTATCACACAAGGGAGGCAGAGAAAGGGCTTTTCCTGGAGTGTTGGGATTAACACATTACTTGTTACTTAACTGGAATATTATTTCAGTAGTGACTTCTCAGGTTTCTCGTTTGTGAAGTAATTGATATTTTCCCTTATACTCAGTATTAAAGTAGTTAAGCATTTTAAATGTAGAAGACTTAATTAGCCCTGTGGAACTCATGATATGCGTGCACTTTGAAAATTCAGTAGACCATTAAGGGATTTGATTAACCCATGCCAGTATTTTTCTCCATTTTCCTAATATTCATGAATAAGCTATATATTTGTAATGGGTGAAAGTTAATACAGATACTCCTTGAATTATGTTGGGTTATAAATCCACCATAAATTGAAAGTGCATTTTAATACCAAATATCATAGCTTAGCCTAGCAGCCTAACTTAAATATACTAAGAAGACTGAATTAGCCCCCAGTTTGGCAAAATCATCTAATACGAAGCCTATTTTATAATAAAGTGTTGAATATCTCATGAAATTTATTGATACTACACTGAAAGTGAAGACCAATGAAAGGGGTACTTGAAGTATAATTCCTACCGAATGCCCATTATGTTCACACCATCAGAAAGTTAAAAAAAAAAAATGCTAAGTTGGCTGGGCACTGTGGCTATACCTATAATCCCAGCACTCTGGGAGCTCAGGAGTTGGAGACCAGCCTGAGCAAGAGTGAGACCCTGTCTCTACTTAAAATAGAAAAACTAGCTGGGTGTTGTGGCGGACACCTGTATTTCCAGCTACTCGGGAGCCTGAGGCAGGAGGGTTGCTTGAGCCTAAGAGTTTGAGGTTGCTATGAGCTGTGATGCAACAGCACTCTACCCAGGGTGACAGAGCATGACTCTGTCTCAAAAATAAAAAAGTATGCTTGGGTACTTACACTGGTTTTCTACTGATTATGTCAAATGCCACCTAGTAGTAGTTAAAAATAGTAAAATGAAGCATTTTTTTGTTTACTGCATCTTTGCTTCTTTCAACATTATCACCAGGTAAAAAATAGTAAAGCAGCCAGTACATTTCTAAAAGGAAAATTGTATACCAATTTTTCTGTGCCTCTGCTATAAAAGATGAAAGAGATACCATGAATTTTGTCAATAAAGCTTTAGGAATATCTGCACGTATACATTTACATTCCAGTTGGCAACACTAGTAATTTCATTTTAATACAAATTATGCGAGAGAACTCTTAAATTTCAGACATGGTCATATATATGCCGTTTGAGCTTCTTTATCTTGAAATAGATCTTGATAACGAATCCCTTGATACCAGATGTGCAGCTAATTTGTCCCGAAACTCGTGAAGATAATTGTATTGCTGAAAAAAGTAAAGATGCATTGAAATACATTGTAGACAACTAGTTACCAAAGTGGGTTGCGAGGGAATCAAAAAAATGTTTGCTAAGAACAATTCTACATCCTTTTGGGTGAGGAAGTATTTATGCCCTGGGTAAATTGGATTTTTTTTCAATAAAGCTTCTTATAACGTGAAAAGTTATTTCTCTAAAAATCTCTAAAAGCAGAAATGCAGATGAGTATTTTATAAGGCCGTGATCCTTTATCTCTTTATACTTGTAGGGCCAGATAACATTAGAAACAGTTCACAGTGGCACTTGTGCTGGTGTCTCCTCACTGGGGTCAAGGGGGCAGGAGGAGAGGGCACTTCCTGGAGCAGTTAATAGTATGTTCACTTTGAAATTTATAGAAGCCCCAGTCTTCTGCTATTTGTGGTGACATCCATTTGGAATAAATTTCATAGTATTTATTTCACTTAACAGTTAGGTGAAATAAAAGTCTGAAATAATTTATTTGGAGTTTTAACAGCTTCCCAGAGGATATTCTTACTGTGCTAACGGTCTCGTGCTGTGTCCCTCCTGAGAAGCTGAACCACACTGCCTCATGCCAGGGAGGGCAGCGCAGTCTGTGGACTGCTGCTCATACCTGACAATTCACACTCTTGGGAGCTCAATTCTCCGCGGTGTTAAGGGTGTAAAACGTATGTACTTGGCCTTGCATCTTGTCTTGTCTCAAAGAGCAGAGGACTCTTTTGGGATGTGTTTTCAGCATCTATACAGGGAAATGAATCCTGTATGGATTATCTGGTGAGTGACCTTATTTAAACCCGAAGATTCAGGTTGCTTGGTGGATTTATCAGTAACTAGAATGATTTGCTCTCACGTGGCCCTGGATTGGGTCTGTACCCCAGGGAAGCTGGACTTGGGCCCCGGGAGCTGCCTAAAGGCCGGGACTCGGTACCTGCTCCTCACAGTGGCACCGACTCAGGGGGCAGCTCGGGAAAGGCAGCTCAGCTTCTCCATCTACACAGGGAGCCCTGCGGAGCCTTTTCAGTGAGATGATCACCACACACCACCACAGCTGGGGACCCACGTGTGGGGAGGGGACACAGCACTGCCTTGTATTCTTTGTAGCTATCTTTATCCAGGGTTCTGGGGAGGTAACCGCATCTGCCTTACGTCTTTTTGGTTAAAACTTTACCTAAGAAACTCCCAAGCTTATTGTAAACATCGCACTGTTCCCCAACAGAATGGGGCAGAAACTAAGCAGTATTTCAGCGGTTCTCCACCCGTGGGTCGCCTAAAACCATCCTGCATATCAGATATTTACATTATGATTCATAACAGTAGCAAAGTTATAGTTATGAAGTAGCAACGAAATAATTTTATGGTTGGGCGTCACCACAGCATGAGGAACTGTATTAAAGGGTTGCAGCATTAGGAAGGTTGAGAACCACTGCAGTAGTTTTCTCTTCCGGGAAGTTCACACTGGTTATTTTGTTTGAAATACCGTGCTTCTGCAGATGTCTAAAACATTAAAAGCATAAGTGGTATTTGAGTAACAGAGCTTCGGCGTTCCACCCCACTGCCCTGTTCACCTTGATGGTCTGTATGGCCCCGGACCCCCTCACATCCCGCAGGCTGTCGATGGCTTGCTGTGGGGACACCGTGTCAGACAGGTACAGCAGGAGACAAGCTGCGACTGATGGGACGGGACAGAGAAACAACATGTTAAATAATAGGGTCAGACACTGTACATTTAAATAGACTTCTGTTGATGCAGGAGATTCAGTTGAGTACAGTTGTTCCAAATGAATTAAAACACAGACTTTTAATGCACTTTAGACGTTAAATTATGATCTGAAATGACTGTGGTTGTCATTTTGTTATTTTTACAGTTATACTGAGATAATATTTACACACTGTGCAGGTCATCCATTTAATGTGTCCAATTCAGTGATCTTTAGCACATCCAAAATATCTGTGTGACCACCAATTTCAGAACATGTTCATCACCTCTAAAATAAACTCTGCACCTTTACGATTGTCCCCGTTACTCTGCCGAGCCCTACCCTGGCAGCCACTGATCTTCCTGCCTCCGCTGACTTGCCTGCTGTGGACACTCAGCAGGTGGAAACAGCCCATTGGTGTCCCCTCTGACCCTCCCTTAGCCTCCTGTCTGGGTTCATCCAGGCTGCAGTGTGAACCGGAATGTCCTTGTATGACCAACCCATATCCGCTTGGGGCCCCATCATGCTCATCCTCCATCAGCTGATGGACATTTGTGTCCAAGCCATGGGACTCTGTGTTTTCATTTGGGAGGTGTCAGCCTTGGAGTGGAATCGCAGGGTCATACAGTGACCGTGTTTGAGCACCCACTGCCGACTGTTTTCCAAAGCAGCTGCACCGTCTCACATCCCCACCAACAGTGTGTGAGGGCTTCTGTGTCTACAGGTCCTTGTCAATATTTATTTTTCAGGGAGTAATAGCCGTCCTAATGGGTGTCAAGAGGTATCTGTTGTGGTTCTGATTTGCATTTCTTGATGACTGAGGGGTTGGGCATCTTTTCAAATGCTTATTGGTCATTTGTATATTTTGTTTGGAGAAAGGTTTATTCAGGCCCTTTGCCCATTTTTAAATTGGGTTGTCTTTTTATTCCTTGAGCTGTTAAGAGTTCTTTATAGGTTCTGGACACAGGTCCTCTTACCAGATCCGTGGCTTGTAAGTATTTCCCCATTCTGTGGGTTATCTTTTCATTTTGACAGTGTTGTCTGGAGCAGTTCTCCATTTTGATGCTGCCCAGTACCGAAAGGAGCGACTGTTACTCCAGTGCGGCATTTCAGGAGCTGTTCTTGTTTTTCCCAGCACATTTACAAATATTTTAAAGTTAACATCCAGTAATTAACTTTGGTTTTCATACTGTGTTACAAGTAACTGTCAGTATATGGGGCGATACATGGGGAGGACATTAAAAAAAAACCCCAAGAATTCAGGGACTTGTAAATGATGTTATACAAAATTCTCCAGGACGATGCTGAAAATCCCTCCCACTCCCATGCAAGCTTTTTAGGGAACACCAAGTTTAGGGCCTTAAATAATCCTTTGAATCTCAGCAAAGTTAAACCATGTTTTGTTTCATTTTAATACAAAGTGAGCATATGCCCCAGAAACAGGAGTTTCCCTACCTTGAGGTTAAAAACATTAATAAAGAAAATATATTTCTTACCGAGACAGGATCTGCCGAGTCCTCCGTAACAGCTGAAAGGAAAACACAGTTGAGAGGTTTGTCCCCCCTCACCCACCCCAGAGACTTGCTCTCTCTGCCTTTTACGCATCATTCTCATTAGCACAGCTAATGCCTTGCACACAATGATTTATTAATATTTTTGAATTAACCTAGAGGAAAGTGGCTGATTCCTTTGTTGGGAGGGATTCTGAACACCTCCGAGGGTCAAGGTAGGCAAGTTTTTCTTTTTTTCTGCAGTTTTTGGGCGGGGCTGGGTTTGAACCCGCCACCTCTGGCATATGGGGCCAGCACCTTACCCCCTTGAGCCACAGGTGCCGTCCTAGGCAAGGTTTTTTTAGTGACCTCTCTAGACCCCAGGATCTACCTATGGGAAATGGAGCATGTAACTCAATTGAGAGAAATCAGGCTATTTTTACCATATGCCACTTTATTTTCCTCTAAATAAAACCTGAATGGTTACAGGGCAAATGCTATTTATATACTCTTCTAGTACCCTAGAGGTCTGGAACATGGGTCTGAGTCTGGGTCCTGAATTCTTACCTGTCTCTTCATGGACATGTAAAGCTAAGCAAGTTATTTAATCTCCCTGGACACACCACAGTGAGGATGAGCGCTGAAGGGCCTGGGCCAGAGTTTGGCACAGTACTGAGCAGATGAATGCTAGCTGCTATTATCTAGCGTGGTGAAGAGATTAGCAGTTTTCCTGAAAAGTGAATTAACCCTCAACAGCAAACAATTCACTGAAATCAATTTTCAAAGATTCAAAAAAAATGCATTCCATGCTTCCTGTTATGTAGAGGGTATTCTACTGGACCTGATGAGTGCGATGACTTGTCACCAACACTCATCAGGGTGTTGTAGACAAAGCTGGCACTGACCTCTGGCATCACTGGTGAACTTGCTGTCTACAGAGCATCCTAGCCCCAGCCCTGGTCTAGATCGGGACCCAGCCTGGAAGGTGGGGGCGGCCTGCAGGGCTCCTGCGGGATCAGCCCTGCTCCATACTTCTTGCTACTTTCACTCTTATGTTTAGTGGATTTGCACTCATCTTTTAAAACCCAGCTCAAATTTTCATTTCCTAAAATGCCCGGTCTCCGTGTCAGTCTCACCACTCACATGGTGGGTCAGCGAGGGCTCCGGTGGGTGCACACTGCACCTCCCTTATTGGCATGCTGTGTGGCACATGGCAGGCGTTAAGGTTAAATTATGCCCCAGAAGCCATGCTGCAGCCCTTACCCCAGCACTTGAGGACGTAGCCTTACTTGGGAGTAGGGTCTTTTCACATATATTTAAGTGAAGATGAATTAGGGTGGCCCTGTGCCTATGACATTAGTGTCCTCACAAGAGGAAAACACCCTATGATGGCACAGAGATGGGCAAATCATGTGATGAGAGGCAAAGCCAGGACAGACCTAGGTGCAAGCATAGACGCCAGGCACAACTGGCCACACCAGAGGCCAGAGAGGCGTGGAAGGCCACACAGACAGCCTCTGAGGGCATGTGGCCGGCCACCCCTGGGTTTGGACTTGCAGCTCCCTGACCTGGAGGGAGAAGACATTTCTGTTGTTTTAAGCTTCCTGGTCTGTGGCACTCTGCTTCGTGCCCAAGGAAACCATGTAACACACCAAGCTAGAGGTGTTCACTGAGGTCTTACAGGACTGCAGGTCCCAGGCGGCAGCAGCAGGCAGCTCCTGCCCTGCCCACATGTGAGGTGTAAGCTCTATCGCTGTCCAGCAGTGTGGGCCTCAACGTTGGGCAGGGTGGGTACAGAACTGTCCAGGCACTGCAGGACACCTTGGAAAGCTCTAGGACAATGAGGAATTCCAGTCATCAGAGGCTTTATCTTATGGGAACCTGAACCCGTGCCAGGCGCCATGTCTGAGTGGCCTGTGTGTACTTGGCTCATGTCAGGGCGTCTGGGTTGCCTCCACCTGCTGGAGCAGGATTTGTTAAGGGCACTTCACTAAACTCAGCTAGTTTGATCTCTGCAACTTTTCAGTACAGGCCACTTTAAAAAATTTCTTTGAGGGGCAGCGCCTGTGGCTCAAAGGAGTAGGGCACTGGCCCCATATGCGGGAGGTGGCAGGTTCAAACCTAGCCCTGGCCAGAAACTGCAAAAAAAAAAAAAAAATTTCTTCGAGAAAAAAATCTCAGAAAGAGGCCCCAAACTAGAAGATATTTTTCATACATCTATCTAATAATATTTTACCTCTGAATATTTGGCATAGACAACTGTGTCTATTTGAAATTTTGCTTTTACAAATAGTACTAGATGACAGATTACTCTTCACTAGAGAAAGTTTTGAGGTGCGTGTCCCTGCAGACCTTGTGCTAGTTGGTTTCGTCAGAGCTGGCACTGTTGGCATGAAGCCCGGGGCTTGCTCTGTCACTCGGGGCTCTGGGACTGCACGGCTGTTTGGTGTAGTTTGTACACTGCTAGCTCAAAGCAATGACTGCAGGCTTTTGAGGAGTCCGACCATTTAATACGTTACCTTGTTCAGAGAGGATGAAGCAGCCCGTTAGGATGTAAGATGCGCAGGAGGCAGTGAAGGCCTAGAGCTGCTCTCCTGTGAGACCCGCCACTTGTCACCACAGCCTGGGTCTCACCTTCGCTGTGTCACCAGCTCCTGCCCACTGCTGCTCTCACCTTCTGTGCTCTGAGCTACTATTCCTTCCTGCCTCATTTCCCCCCTTCCCTAACCCATTTTATTCTGTTTTAAACTCTCATACCAACAGCTTGTGCTTTTATAGTCCTTGATAAATAATGAGCGTCCCTCTTTCACTCTGGTAGCAAATCCATATCATTAAGTATAATTGTCACATCTTATTTTAAGACCGCTCATTGCTTATGAGTGACCTTTTTGCTGCTAATTTTGAACACTTGCCCCTGAAAGCAACTGAGCCATCTGACGGGCTGACTGTGGAAAGAGTGGCGGCCTTTTTTTTTTTGGTGGTAGTGATGGGGAAGATGGGGAAGATGCTAAATTTCTATGAAAAAAGGAAAGAAAAAAAGCCCCTGTAACCTTGTAAACAATTCCAAATCTACTCATTGATCGTCACAGATATTTGGGGGCTTCCTCTGTGCCAGGCACTGTGCTAGTGCTTCCCACACATTATCTTTTAATCCTCGTGACAAATCATGAGGTGGGTAATAATGGAGAGGGCTGCAACAATTTGGGAATCACTTTGACGGGAGGACCTCACTGGTGTGGGGGAGGAGAACATACTGTATCAGGGTCTTGCGGCCGTTTTTAAGGCAGACTGCCAGCTCCTCCAGCACCTCGCAGCAGCTGGCTATGTCAGGAGTCCCTCCGTCTGGGATCGGGTGGTGATGGGTGGTGATTCCGTGCTGCTGGTACAAGTCCAAGAGGTTTGGGACTCTGTATTTTGACAGTTCTCCTCTGGTGCAGAAAACAAATATGTCTTGTATGCCATAGCTCTTTAGTTCTTCTGCCAAAAGACCAATATACACACAGACATGCACACAGAAAACATTATCAATTTAAATCCAGTCAAGAGGGAGAATGGTGAGTTATATTTCTTAAGCCCAATTAAACACAGGGATAATTTATAAATTTGATGTGCCTATTGACATCTGAAATGAAAGGTGATTAGAATTAAACTTAACTTTATAAGTCAAAGGATTTTTATGGAATGAATTTCAAGATGAGTCAATTGATGTTCTTGTAAAAAAAAAAAAAAAAAATATATATATATATATATATTTGGAGGCAGAGTCTTACTCTGTCGCCCAAGCTAGAGTGCCGGAAGTCATCATAGCTCACAGCAACCTCAGACTCCTGAGCTCAAGGAACCCTCCTGTCTTGGCCTCCCAGATTGCCAGAATTATAGGCATGAGCAGGTGTCCTCAAACTATGGCCCCGTGGACCACATGCGGCCCGCCTAGGACATTTATCCGGCCCACTGGGTGTTTTTGCTGCCACTGCCTGTCCTGCTTAGCAGCCAACTCGTCCCGGGGCCCGCAGTCTGGCCCTCCAACAGTTTGAGGGACAGTGAACTGGCCCCCTGTTTAAAAAGTTTGAGGACCCCTGCATGAGTCACTGTGCCTGGTCACAAAAAGGTTTTGCAATAAATACTACAGTAAAATAAATCTAAATACACTCAATATTTAAAAATAAACTCTTAAGAAGGAATGATAACACATCTTTTTTCTTTTTCTCACAAAACCAACCATGTTTGCTACTCTGTGATTGTGCTGTTTGATTTGCTTTAAGTATTTACACAGAGCCTCCAGCACAGCCCCGGTGGCCGCGCTGTCCTGTTTGCCCTCCGGTCTGCACTGCTCCACACACTGTCTTTAATTTTATGGACCAGGTCTCTGGAAGATAAAGCACTAACTGTCTGACATTTACCTGACTTCGCTATTTTCACCATAATGATATGAATCAAGATGTATTACTACAGCCATTCTATACAAGGGAACATCTTTATGGCAATCGTTGCTACAGAGCATTTGGTTCCAATAAATAATTCTGGCTGATCTAAGCCACCCTCTGCCCTCCGCCCACCTCTGTCTTCCAAATCCAAAGACAGTTATTAAGTGCAGGGTCCCCTTCCTCGTGGAGCTAGTGCAACGGAGACGCTCTGAGCGTGAGACCCTTGGGACTGCAGAGGCTACGCAGTCAGTCTCAGTAGTTACTTTTATGCTTAAAACCTGTTGAAATGATAATATTTAGAATATGTTAGGTTAAATAAAATATATTATTAAAATTAATACCACTCTTCTTTCCTTTCTAATGTGGTAGATAGAAGATGGTTACACGTGGCTTCTGCTTGGGGGTCTCACTGTGTTTCTACTGGATGGTGGTGCTCCACACCAAACTATTACAGTTTTGTGCTCATAAAAGAATTTAACCTGTAGTTAACATACTTAACCGTTTTTAATAGAGTAGGTAATTTTCTCTGTTCTTGTGCACACTAGATGGTTTCTAAGCTTTCCTAGAAAGGACTGCAGAGGCACTGTGGGGACGGCGGCAGGGAGGTTCTGGGCCCTCCCATCAGACACTTTGGTGTGTTGTATATGTCAGATTCCATCTGATATTTCAGTGCAGAAAAGGTTTGGAGAAAAATTGGAAACCCCTTTAATAGAAGATACTAAATGAATATGGCATTCCAAAATGTACGAGACTGGTCTTGAACCAATGATTTAAACTGTATATAATTTGGTGGGTGTGTTTAAAACAGAAATACCTTATAAATACTTCAAGGGTCATCTATCTATTAGCTTCTTTAAGTTTTTTTTGGTAGGCGAGGAATAAATTTTAAAAAGTACAAGGCTGAGGTGGGTGGATTGCCTAAGCTCATGAGTTCAAGATCAGCCTGAGCCAGAGTGAGACCTCATTTCTAAAAAAATAGTTTGGAATCTACTGTGGCGGGCACCTGTAGTCCCAGATACTTGAAAGGCTGAGGCAAGAGAATCGCTTAAGCCCAAGAGTTGGAGGTTGCTGGGAGCTGTGATGCCACTGCACTCTACTGAGGGCACAAGAGTGAGACTCTCTCTCAAAAAAAATTTTTTTTTTCTTTAAAAAATAAAAAGTGCATTAACAAACTAATAAACTAGAATAACCAGGAAAAGATTTTAGGATATCAAACATCTGTACTGGTCAGAATCAAGCAACATAGACATTTTTTATTTTGTGTATTAGAAGGATGTTGGGCTCAGTGCCCATAGCACAGAGGTTATGGTGCCAGCCACATACACCAAGACTGGTGGGTTCAAACTCGGCCCAGGCCAGCTAAATAACAATGACAACTGCAACAAAAAATGGCCAGACATAGTGGGGGGCGCCTGTGGTCCCAGCTACTTGGGACACAGGCAAGAGAATTGCTTAAGCCCAAGAGGTGAAGGTTGTTGTGAGCTGTGTTGCCACGACACTCTACTGATGGGGGCATAGTGAGACTCTGTCTCAAAAAAAAAAGGATATTGGTAGGATGAGTAGGCTTGGGAGGGATATTCCAGGTCAAGCAGAATAAAATATTTTGAAAATCCACATTTGTTAGTGTCATGCTCTATTATATAAATTCCAAATTGGGGCTAATTATCCTGATTAGACTTGAGGCTACAGTGGTGTGAACATCCTTGGGCATGTTAGGATCTGTTCTTACCTGCCTTTCCCACCTAAAACCAAGATGCTGGCTTTCTCAATTTGCTACCCAGGATGGAAATATCACTGCTACCTCGAGGTTCCCAGCTCAAGCTTAATTTCTACAATAGTCAGGTCTGCAAGGAACAGCATGTTCAAAGACCTGGGCAGTGCAGTGCGTCAGTTCTGTTTACACCTTTCTCCCGAGTTCTGCAGTTAACCTCGGCACAGTCTGTTACAACAACAACAGTGTAAAGCGATGCCCTGTGTAGGTAAGCTGTGAGTCCCTGGTGCCCTGCACAAATCCCTCTTCACATTTTAGAAAGAATCTGTAGTTGGAAAGGTCACAAAATATTGAACATTTATTAGTATATTGAAAAAGAGATTGGTATTTTGAGGAAGAGATTTTTAGTATTATTTTTTAAAAAACCTAGCAGTGTGGGTGTCTCATATCACACCTACCTGTATCTTTTTGGATATTTCTTCTAGTATCTTTAAATTTACAACCTGTGAGTAGTAATAAGGCAAGCAAAAAAGGTCAGTGTGGTCACATGTAACAAGCACATTTCAACACTTAGAGCGTTCCTTTAGAAAGCCATTCTGTACCATTTATAATGTTTCAATCCCATTTGAATGGGAAGTTCAATTTCTTATATTTTTAGAAATGTAATTACAGGGATTCATCCTAATCGAGGATTCTTTATTCATGTCTTTTCTGTAACAAGTACCTGGCCTGCTTGTGGTAAGTAGTCCCCAGCCTCACTTGTAACCCAGGGTTTAAGTTTTATTTATTTTTATTTTTTCTGAGACAAAGTCTCACATTGTTACCCTCAGTAGAGTGCCATGGTGTCACAGCTCACAGCAACCTCAACTCTTGTGCGCAAGGGATTCTCTTGCCTCAGCCTCCTGAGTAGCTGGGACTACATTCAGTTTTATTAAGGTGGGTAAATCAGGGATGTGAAGCGGGGGTCACAGATGGCTTCTGAAAGCGGGTTCCCTTTCCTGCTCTGATTGTGCAGTACAGGGAACGATGGCTGTGAGCAGAGGAAGCCGGCCGCAGCATTGCTTACCTGGGAGAGCACATAGGCCCAGAAACTGAGAACAGTTCACCCTGGACAGAGGTAGCCTAAAAGGGAAAAAAATTATCACGTTCAGTTTCATTTTTTACAAAGTTATCAATGGAAATTCAATCTAACCAACACGGGTGCTTGCCACTGAATCAGGGAGTTTTATAGTTGTCACAAAACAAAAATTCATAGTTAAGATATCAATGTGCTAGTCACAAAAAGGCCTAAAATGACTGAGCAATTTAAAACGGAGACCTACTTGCTTTGCTACTATTTAAGTCCTTATAACAGCAAGTTAAATTAAGTTTACCTTAAAGACCCTGATGCCTAGATCATCAACATGTAGTGTCTGGTATACTTAAGTTATTCTGCAGCACGTTACCCGAGCTATTGTATATTAGTAACTTTAGGAAAATAAGCTAGAAAATGACCATCTGACAATTTTATTCCCAGCATTTATTTACATTACTATTTTAAGATTTTTTGGTAGGACTTTCTTAAAAGATATAATTTCATATGTTACCTATTCTTTGTGGTAATGGACTTTGGTTAAAGTGAAATAATTTTAAGAAACCATATTCCTCTGTTCTCTGTACTTGAGAACAGAGGTTCACCTTGTCTGCAAGCCAAAAGATGAATTTAAAGGAAAACAGGAGGCATCATATAAATACCACCCAACTCTAAAAATTAGAAGGGGAAAAGAAAGGTGATGCCGTGTGATGGGGGCAGAGCACATGCAGGGACAGCACTTGGTGCTCTTCCTTCCTCCGACGGTGGGGACAGTGCTTTCTCCAGGAGAAAGATCACGGCATCTGCAGAAATGGGAGAAAGAATTTGATTGCTGGTTGTACAGAATCTGGCATGACCACAAAGTCACTTGCCAAGATTGGGAAGTTGATTTTATATAGAAACTTGTTTGTTACTTTATCTATGTGGCTTTTTTCTTAAACAGAGTCTGCTAACCGATGCATTACTGTGACAAGGACCTCTAAGTATTACCTAGGATTTGACTTAATGATAAGTGACTGAATATCTTATATGTTGTACACTTTTCTTTTGTCACACAAGAATAAGTAGATTTTCATACTAAATGGGAGCTCATTTCAATCCTACATCTTCTCCTTACTAACTTGCTTCTACTAAGGTTTTCTCAGTATATAAAAGACCAAAAAGAAAAAAAAAGGCCTTATTCTGTATCATTGATAGTAAATGAATCATGGAGTTAGAAGCTTAGAATTATATAATCAGTAAAAGTGAGTCAATATTTTCAATATGTGAACTATAGTCTACTAAGATTACTATTAATATCAAGTATCTTAGCTCCTCATTGATCAGAAAGGCCAACATACCATGATATCTGAATTGGAGTCTGTTCATCTTCAATCGGCTCTTCATCTGATGAGTCAAACTCACTTGCTTGTATTGAAATAGGCTTCAAAAGAAATAAGTCATGTTAAATAACTATAAAGAATATTTACATGTAGCTTTAGATAGCCAATCTTTGCTTAAATACACACTGCTCTCATATTGCAATTTATTCATTCATCAATTCAGAATATGAGATCAGTAATATCAATTCCTAATGGCTGCCATTTATATCCTGTTAATAATTACAGCACTGCATCGTGGAGGGTTGGACAGGGAACCAAGAGACCTGCCTTCAGGTCTTGGCTCTGCCACTTATTGTATCATCTCCAATAAGCCACTTCAGTTTACTCTGCATCACAGGTCTCCTCAACTGTAAAGCGAAGAGATTTATTCATTCACAAAAATTCTGTGGATACCTTCATTTGTCTATGGATGCAAAAGATCAATAAGACAAGCAGTTTTCCCCTGTAGGGGACAAGTGCTAAGACAGAAGCTGAGACTCCACCTGCAGAGTAGAGTGATGCTTAAGGAGTTAGGCTTCATTGCTGGTATCTGAAGGAAAAGCAGCTGGTTTCTCTGTAGACAGGTTGGAAGTTAAGAAAATTAACTTTTCTTAAAGGAGAAAAGGGGAAAGGGCTTGTGTATTCAGGAACTGTGTTATCAAAACAGAGATGGAGCTAGAGAAGTTTAGCTTCATCTTAACTTTACTCCATTTCTCAAAAACAATCCCAAGACAGTCTGGTAGTTGGGTGGGGGGAATATAGGTGAACTAACCTTCTTTGCAACTTTTTGAATCACTGGACTGAAGAGATTGAAATGGACTTTAGATTTAAGTCGGAGCTCAGGCTCGGTGCCTGTAGCTTGGTGGCTAGCGTGCCAGCCACATACGCCGGAGCTGGTGAGTTAGAATCCAGCCTGGGCCTGCCAAACGACGACGACTTCATCTTAAAAATAGCCGGGCATGGTGGAGGATACCTGTAGTCTCAGCTACTTGGGAGGCTGAGGCAAGAGAATTGCTTAAGCCCAAGAGTTTGAGGTTGCTGTGAGCTGTGATGTCACGGCACT